GAAGTTTATCTTGTGGTTGAGTATTGGGACTGGGGGTTACTTCTCCTGCTTGCCTTTTATATAATTCAGTTTCTCTTTGCCTATGGAATTTGTTTTCTGCATGTTTGTTTCTTATATGAGATTGGAGGCAGTTGTTTTTTTTTGACTGAATTAACTGTGGATAATGGCTTTTGGTTTGGCATAGTAAGAATTGCCTTAAATGAGCCTGTCTGCATTTAATATAGTCTAGGGGGAAATGGACTATTTTAAACAATCACAAATTTGCAGAGTAGTTGAAAGTGGAAACTGAGAAACTCGTTTGCCTGAACATTTGAGAGCCCTGGTGGTATAGTGGTTCATGAGCTGGCCTGCTAACCTCGAGGTCAGCTGTTGGAGACCACCAGTTGCTCTCTAGGAGAAGGGCGGGGCTTTCTACTCCTGTAAAGAGTGACACTCTTGGGAATGTGCAGGGGCAGTTCTAGGCTTGCAATGAGCTGGCTTCAACTTGATAGCAATGAGTTTGGTTTCCTTTTATCTACTGGGGCTTGAAACTAACCAAACCTCGAAGCTCGGGGTTATCTATTTATTCAGCATACTCTGATACAGCCCTGTTGGTATTTATTTGATGTTTAAGTGGCTCTTGATTTGACCAGTGGAAATTTCTTCAGACCGGCTTCTGTGTCCTTTTCCCTCAGGCCCTGGAATCAGCCATTTCTCTGGAGAAGTCATTGGAGAATGGTATTTTAAAAACAAGATCTGAGTGCCAGGTTTTCTCATTGCTGTTGAGGGATTGATGTGCACACGCCCTCTCAATGGATAGAACTAGAGAATTTATATAGACACACACACACACACACACACACACATAGAGTAAATATATGTGCTTAGAAACATATAAACACAGGATACCCATATTTATGTATTCATGCTTGATAAAATAGACGGTCAGTGGAAAAATGGTTAGTATTCAACAGTACGATTAACACAGGAACTAATACAATGGGCTCAAATACAGCAAAGATAGCACCGTGCAGGACCCCCCAGGATTTCATTGTGTTAAACGTAAGGGCACTGTGAGTCAGAACAAACTCAGTAGCACCTTCCAACAGCTCTGGAAAACCGGGACTTCACACCAGCGCCTCCCACTCCCATCCAGCCCCAGGGGGTTCCTTCTACTTCTCTTTCATGCCCTGTCTGTGCCTCTTTCCTGCTCAGGAGAAATCTGGCTTCCATGTGATGGCCAGTGCATTTGTAGGTGGCCCGTCTCCCATTGGGGCTGTTACCTCCCTCCCTTTCTTCTACAAACGGACAGATGCCCTTCTTTTTGTGTCACACAAACTGATTGATTGATATACTTCAGGACCTTGGCACATACAAGTTGGCTCATGGATACAGACTGGTTTCCCAAATCCCATAGGTTTAAATATCTATTTATAATCTGGAAGCCGAACACAGCCTTGGAAAACACCTCTTTTGACTTTCAGGCAGTGTTCCCCAAAGTTGGTGATATTGAGCCCCACGCCCCTGGTGGGAGTGGGCTACAGGAATGATCCAGATTGGGGGGAGGGGGCTTACCAAAGCCGATACCTACACTTTATCCTGGATTATGCGCTATATATTACAAAAGCTTTTAGTTGCCAGAGAGGTGCTTAGTAAATTTTTTTTTTCTGAAAAGGGGGTGATAAGCCAAATAAGTTTGGGAACCTGTGGTTTAAGGCCTTCAACAGATTGAGGCCCACCACATGTATTATGGTCGGTAATCTGCTTTACTGGAGGCCAGTAGATTTAATCACATGTAATTGCTTCATGCAACAACTAATTAGTGTTTTCCCAGACAAGTAGGCACTATAACCTAGTCAGGTTGATAACATACAATTAACCATTCACTTAGGCTCTGATGTCAAGCACTGGGACATCCTCCCCTTGCCCCCCATGGATCCATGGGCCCCAGCTCACTCAAGCTGGGACTTTCCAGTTCTGCCTTCCCACTCCTTCCTCCCCATAAAGGCTTCCTCTTAATACCCTTCCCTGAATTGTTCAGGGAGGGGAGGGGGGAAGGGATACTTATGCCTTTTTTAAAACGTGACTTCATAATGACTTCTGGTTGCTTTTTTTTTCTTCCCCTATTTGAGTTTTATACAGCCTTTTCTATAAGTCTTATATTAAAGCATGTGTGATTATATTTCAAAGTTTTACAAGTTGTTTTAATACTGTAGTTATGCCAACCCTTATTCTAAACTAGAGATTAACCAAATTGTAAATATTTGAGTTTTTGAGGTCAGCAGTAAAAATCAAGGTTACTATATAGGGTGGTGCTGTGGTACATGTTGGGCTGCAACAGTAAAAATCAAGGTTACTATATAGGGTGGTGCCGTGGTACATGTTGGGCTGCAATCTGCATAGTCGGCAGTTCAAAACTACCAGCAGCTCCACGGGAGAAAGACTGGGCTTTCTACTCCAGCAAACAGTTACAGCCTCAGAAACCCACCCTCAGGGTCGCTATGAGCCAGCATGGACTCAATGGCAGTGAGTTTGGTTTGGTTACATAATAACCATTTAAAAATATGAAAACCACACTTTGCTGTGCACCATTCAAAACCAGGTAGCAGACTGGATTTGCCAACCTCTGTTTTAAACCAAAGTAGAAATTCTTTTCTCTTTAGATAACACTCTTACTAGGCTTCAAAGTCCATCAAATTCCATTTGCTTATTCATTGAACAAATATTTATTTAATCTTGGCTATCTGCCAGACCCAGTGGTAGGTACTACAAAAATATTATCTTAACCTGTTTTACAGAGAAAATACTGAGACTGGACTTAAGTAACTTGTTAAAATTACTCAGAGGTTTTTGTTGTTGATGATCTTTACTCATTTGGTTTTATAGCTGAGTTATTTATTAATTAGGGATTCCTATATATTGATCACAGTGTTGAACATGAAAAAGTCACAAGTATTTGGACCGATTGTTTGCTTTTCTGAGCTGCTGTAGTCTTATGTGTGTAGTTGAGGATATGTCAAAAAGTATTGCTACAAAATATAGAAAACCTTGTTAAACAAAAATATCAAAATAAGTTCTTGTTTCTCAACATATCCTCCACCTCAGTCTATACACTTCGAAAGGTACCTCTCTAACTCTCC